CACTAGAAAGAGAGACGCTGATAGAATTTTTTTATAAATTTTAAAGCGAGCTGGATAATTAAGCCATCATTAGATAAAAATTAAACAAATGCCAGAACTACCAGTGATCAGACCAGAAAGCGATGTAGCATTGGTCAAAGCAAGTACAGAAGTTCTGCTGCAGAGTCGGACTGGTCAAAACTACAAAGCTGTTAGTGAAAGCTCAAAGTAATACAAAATTGTTTAGGTAACAATTTATTCAATTGTTTTGTCTAATGCTGTGTCGCCTGATGACCAGATTGCAGACAATTCTAATCTCCCAGGAAAGACTATAATAGAAATTAAATTCACTTCAAACAAATCAACGAAGTTTTAAATCCACTCATTGCTTTTCTGGAAAATTTAAAGTACCAAATAAGAATTAATGCCCAGAGGCAAATACTCCAAACGCCACAGCTTTTCACGTACGATTTCTAGGCTCTTAAGGGATACAATGTGGCAATGATAAAATCCTCGGCTTAACGTTTGTTTTATCGATGAAATTTGAAATAAAATCTGACGAAAGCGGTATAACCTTGTAAGGGCAATGTTTTCGACACCAGGATCCAAGATTTCGGCTTCTATTGTTTGTATGTTGCCAAGTTTCTGTTTCCAATGAACTTTTGACTGCTGGTGCAACCAAATCAAAATAAAGGTCTGAAAGGTACCCCAGTTGATGATTCCGAGCTAGCCATTTTTACGACAAAAAATTTCATGAGGCAGTACATGAGAGCACGCATGCTCGGGAGCTGAATTTGAAAAATTTAAGCAGTACATGTGTTAAGAACACTCCCTGAAAATTTCAGCCCTCCAGCCTTCTTCGTACCTGAGTTAGCGATTTTCGTGCCAGGAACCCTCACAGGGCTGCACGTGGGAACTAAGAAAACACATGGGGGCTGAATTTGAAATCTTTGAGTTCTCTGTGAACGGAGGATGTAACCACGAAATTTCAGCTTTCTAGCTTTTCTGGTTCTTGAGTTAGCGATTTCCCCGCCAAAACTTTCACTCCTTCGTACTCGGGACCCAGACTTGCGTGAGGGTTGGTATCGCGGTCCTGGGATGGCACTAGGCCGAGAAACCCACCGGCAAAATTTTGGCGCCGAAGCTTGCTTGGGTGCCGAGTTGAAATATCCGGACAGACGTACACCCACACATACACGTATACACACACATCGGGGTCGTCACAATATGCGTTTTTGCATTTGCATATAAGCAAAAACGCATAACAAGGAGTATCGAAAAAGGGGTCAGGATAAACAAGCAGGAAAACGGCGAACAAAGCTTCAATTCATTCCTTGAAGCCAAACACCAAGACTCGAGTTAGTTTTAAAAGTACAAGTTTTTTGTCCCCTACACGACTGGGAACATATAAACTTCAGGCTTGTATTTTTTTGATCCTTCTGTCATATCTCCAGAAGTTGAGCCTGAGATTAAAGACTATTTCAGCGAGTGAGCTTGACTTCAAAGGTTACCGCAAAAAGAAGTTTTCTCAATTCAGAAAATTTCAGCATCCTAGCTATTTAGTACAGGCTATTTCGCCTCAATGTATCTTGAGCTGCATCGCTGGATTTAAAAACGTTTAAAAAAACTAATAAATCGAGTCCGATTTTAACCTTTGCGGAAAGCAGCAGTTTTTGCAAAATGAACAAATTTACGGCCGGCACTGGAATCAA